CACATCGAGTGGCTGCCACCCGCACGACCAACCAGGGCCAGGGACAAACTGCAACTGAGGCACGTGCCCCCAGCGGGAACCGAACCCGGGTCTCTCCGGACCGCAGGCCGATGCTTTAACTGCTGAGCAAAACTGGCCAGGGCTCATTCTTCATTTTATTTATTTATTATTATTATTATTTTTTATCCTCACCTGAGGACATTTTTCCATTTTTTGTTCAGATAGAGTGGGAGGGAGAGAGAGAGAGAAACATCGACGTGAAAGGGACACATCGAGTGGCTGCCACCCGCACGAGGTACGTGCCCTTAGCGGGAACTGAACCCGGGTCTCTCTGGACCGCAGGTCGACGCTCTAACCGCTGAGCCAGACTGGCCAGGGCTCATTCTTCATTTTAAATAGCTTCCTGCCCTCAGCCTCTATAGCCAGTGGTAAACACTTCTATTTCCGAATGAATAAGAGAGACTCCTTCATCTTCTTGGTCGTGGTTGGAATGAGGTTCATATGGTCATCCACACACTTGGTCACACAACTCTCCAGCTGTCGCTTCATCTGAAGCTCTTTATTCCCTGCATCTATTGAATCTTTGGCTTTGTCGTTGCAATGCATGGTGCACCGGGCCAGGCGGTCCTGGAACTTCTTCAACTCGTTGGTAACCAGGGCCTGAGCTTGAGCCAGAGGCGCGTGGCAGCGCTCAATGCACTGGTGCACCTGCTGCATGGACGCCTGGCTGTCCTCACAACAGCCAGCGCTGCACCGGAACATGAGGCCCTGCATCTTCCAGATATTCTCTCTCTCTAGACTCTTCACCATGGAGTCCACCGCCTCCCGCACCCGAATTAAATTTATTTAAATTAATTTTTTAATCCTCACCTGAGGACATTTTTCCATTTGTTGTTCAGATAGAATGGGAGGAAGAGAGAGAGAGAAACATCGATGTGAAAGGGACACATCGAGTGGCTGCCACCCGCACGACCCAACCAGGGCCGGGGACAAACTGCAACCAAGGTATGTGCCCTTAGTGGGAACTGAACCTGGGTCTCTCTGGACTGCAGGACGATGCTCTAACTGCTGAGCCAAACCGGCCAGGGCCAGCTTTTTGTTTCATTGATCTTTTGAATCGTTTCTTTTGGTGTCTATGTCATTTATTTCTGCTCTAACCTTTAATAGTTCCTTCCTCCTACCAGCACTGGGTTTTTCTTTTTGTTTACTTTCTAGTTCTTTAAGTTGTAGGGTTAGAAAGTCAAGTAGAAATTTTTCTTGTTTCTTGAGGTAGGCCTGTAGTGCAATGAACTTACCTCTCAGGACTGCTTTCACTGTGTCACATAGATTTTGTGTTTGTTTTCATTGATTTCTAGTAAATTTTTAATTTCTTCCTTGATCTTGTTAGTAACCCATTTGTTGTTTAATAACATGCTATTTAGCCTCCAATTGTTTGAATGTTTTTATGTGTTTGTATTGTAATTGAGTTCTAGTTTTATGCCACTGTGATCTGAGAAAATGCTTGATATGATTTCAATCTTCTTGAATTTGTAGAGACTTGCTTTCTTTCAGATTTCCATTTTAAAATGACTCCTACTGTAGTTGGAGAGTAACTTGGAGAACATGTGCTGTGAAGTGAACCCGGAATAATCTATAGGGCCCCAGATTCTCGGGACATTCCAAGACTTGGGAGAAACCTGACAATGTGCTCGTGGTGCTGTCTTGACTCTGGGTTGGTATTTTGTATCTTTCCTAAGGAGGTTCTCCTGCACCAATTGTACAGGGTTTGGTTCTTCCCCTGATACTAAAAAAATAGACTTTCAGGATATATTTCTAAATCCTTACTAAATAATTGAGGAAAACCCTTACTCAACAGTGTTGAAAAATTAAGCCATGTATTTCATCATTGGGTCACCAGTGAATTAGGTATAGTTCCTGGTGGTGAGTGACTCTGGCCGAATTAAGCACAATGAGAATTTGTCAGAAAGATGTTAGGGCAGGGTTGGGACCTTTTTCTGTAAAGGGCCAGATAGTAACTCTTTTCAGCTTTGCAGACCATATGTTGTCTGTTGTAGGGTGTAAGGACCTATATGAATGACTATGTGCCAATAAAGCTTTATTTATAAAACAGGCTGCAGACTGGGTTGGATGAGCAGGTCATAATTTGCTGACTCCTGTATTTGGAGACTCCAAAATAGTTCGGTATTTGGAGCACAGGTTTGCACATAGGTGGGTCTACAGGACTCTGCATATGCATCACCCTAGATCTACTTGGTCCTGTGTACTCACCCCTGCCTCACCCACTTGCTTTGCTACTACTCTGGATAAATTCTCAACTGCTGCCATGGCTATTACTGCACCACAAGCGGGGAGCTCTGGGTTTATTACTTAAGAACTTGGTGACTCTAGACAAGTTGCTTCCTCACAAGGGTGCTCAACTGAATCAGAAATGATGTGCCTGTGCTTCCTGGGGTGCTGAGAGGAGAAAAACTTTGAGGCTACACCCCAGTTAAGTAGGGAAGAAGGTGTGATTCGATTAGTTATGTCTGCAATGGGTGCCTGGATAGAGAGAGGTAGCACACTTGCTAAATTTTGTGATCCTGTAACTAGCTGACCTTCAAGGTCCCTTCTGAACAGCTACAGTTCTGTGTCTAGATATATCCTTGGGAATATTCAGAGATGGAACAGTCCTGTGAAATATGGCCACTTGGCATGGAGGTGTGGCCTATAACTTTACAAATTCCTAACATACCTGATTTATGAAAGAGACTGGTTGAGATCCTGATGCTCTGTTCATGATAGACACACCAGGGAGACTGCTGGCCATCAGGAAAAAGAAACCAAATTCATAATGCCTTTCACATCAGCCTCATGATTTAAGTTCAGAGCAAAGATTCCAACACACACTTTTAGTTTGACAACTGTTTATTGAACATCCATTATGATAATCAAAGACTTGTTCCCTGCCCTTAAGAAATTATAATCATCAGTGTCTCATCCTGGGTAAGAAAGCAGAATCAACTAGAAAGACTATTAGGAATGGCTTTCTGGAATAGAGATGGGAGGTAGTGGAAAGTGGATGAAGGGAGAGAGAGGACACTCCAGCTTGGGGAAATGGTCACAGCAAAGGCTTAGAGGCAGGGATGAGTAAGAGGACATTAGTCTTGTTGGAAGGGTGAATTCATGATGGAGAAGGTAGGGGATGAATTTAGCTGATTTCTGGTTGGAGGCAGAATTATATAGGTGTGAAAAATCAGGATGTGGAGTTTGGCCTTGGTCTTTAAATGATGGGGTGCTATTGTGTTTTCTTGGGTGTTCTAGGAAAATCAAGAATTATAGATGGTGTAGAGGGCAGAGGAGGAGTAAGATGGTCAGGTGGAGAGGCAAGAAAGGAAGCTGGTATAAAGATGCAAATATGCGAGGGTGGAACTTGAGCCTGGAGAGTGACATGTTAGGGAAGAGAAGACATATATGAGAAATGTTTCAAAGTGAGGCTGGGCCGGGCATGGCGGCTGGTGGCATAGGAAGGCTGCAAGAAGAAGGGTGTTACAGGTAACAGCAGATTTCTGAACCTGGGGTCTGAAGTGAGGGTAATAGGGACCACTTGGAGGATGGACCAGGAAGAAAAGACTCATATGGCAGATATGACCACAGGTTATTGCCATAAATGTCCAGGTTGACAATACAGAGACATGCTTCTCAGACTTGGAAGGCAATGCATCTGATCCAGCTTCCAGCCAAGTGCTGGAATTCTGTGGAGGCAATCTTAGATGCTGGTTATCAAGGATTTCTAGAAGTCTTCCAGGGAGCTCCAATCTCCAAAGTAGGGAGAATTTTAAAAAAGTTTTTATTGATTTTTTTAGAGAGAGAGGAAGGGAGAGAGAGAGATAGAAACATCGATGTGAGAGAGAAAAACATCAATTGGCTGCTTCCTGCATACCCCCTACTGGGGACCAAGCCCGCAACCCGGGCATGTGCCCTGACTGGGAATCAAACCAGAATCTCTCAGTCCATGGGGCAATGTTCAATCCACTGAACCACACCCGCCGGGCTAGGGAGAACTTTTGTCAGGTGGTTCCTCTAATTACAAAAGTTTTCTGATGGACCAAGCCTTAGCAGGTAGTGGAAAAGCGTGGGATAGAAGCCAGAACTTGACCCTGCCCCTGACTTACTATGTAACATTTGACAAACCACACAACCTCTATCCTGTTGTCTACAAAATAACAGGGAGACATTAGGGGATTTGCCATAGTTTCAGCTTGCTCTGATTCAGAGTGGTGAAGATTGAAACCATAAGAATGGATGAATGGTTAGAGAATCTGGAGAGAGGGCAGAGTCCCAGGGCCTAGTGGTGGTGGTGGAGGGGCAGTGTTAATTAGGAGGGAGAGATCCAGAAAAGGAGGCATCTCCATTAGCCAGAGAGAGCCCATGAACTAGAACAGTGTCAAGTTACCAGCTTGCTAGCCAAGGAAAAGGGGTTTTAGAGAGACTAATTCTTGCCTTAATTTTTAGGAATTGGGAGGGAATCTCTGGGACATAGGAATGGATGTGGGCTCAGGAAGAGGTTACAACTCTAGGTGAGATTTAGAAGCCAGCGAAGGTTTGATTGAGATGGGAGGTGAGTGGTCTTTGGTTTATTAGTGAAAAATCTTGAGCTTTATCCAGTTACATTTGTATGGGTATGATTCATAAAAGATAGAAGGGGGTTTCAAATAAGCATAGGAGCAGAAGTGGGATAAATGATTACCCTCTTAGGTTGCATTAATAAAGGTAAAGAGTCCAGCCTGAGAGAGGTGAGACTATTGTTACCGCCATGACTGTGCTCAGTTTTAGCTGGATTGCTTTAAGAAGGACAGGGACAGATTGAAGGAGGACCTGCATAAGGGGTATGATGAAAGAAGGATTGAGTGCCATTTAGCTTTGGGGAGAGAAGATTTTGGGAGAGTAGTGAGCACTGACTTTAAACATTTGAGAGGCAGAAAGAGCACCCGAAAGGAGGTCCTTCCCTGCCCTTTCAACTTCTACTGCAGATAGAGTCGTTTCCGAAGGGTGCTTTGGATTTCGGGGTTCACTTTTCTCGTTTCCCCTTCCTGAACCAGCTCTGCTTCTGCCATCCTCCGGGTTACCTGCAGCAACAGGTGTGGTCATTTTGGGGCTGGGCCCCTGGGGGAGTTGGTGTAATGGGCTTATGAGGAGAAGGTCAGAGAAGAAAGCAGGTGGGAATCCCTGTCCTCAGATGGGTGACTGTTATTGTCTAATCCTATACCATCATGTCTATGAAATTAATGGTTGAACATTTCTGTTATGTGTTTTTTTCTAATCTATCATATAAACATTAGAAAAAAAGTTGGTCCAAACACTTAACAGACATTTTTGTTTTGTTTACAGAAATTTATCTAAATCATCTCACATATTGTGGACTTTGGAATTTCTTGCATTAGGGAAAGTCATTGCTAGATGAGTATCCTAATTTCTGTGTTGGGACCTGGATTGGATTTGGGGCTGGAAGCAGGGGAGGGGAAAATGCAGGAAGGTTTGAAAGAGGCTCAGCTCACTCTGCTTGCTTCCTGCTCAGGCTGGGTTGGGGTTCCAGGTACCTTGTCCCAACTCACCTCTGTCAGAAGCTCCAGGATGGGTCCTTTTGTCTTTGTGAACACATCAACCAGGGTCTGGATGAAGTAGGAGCCTTCTTTGTCATGTCTGTAGGAAAGGTACCCTGGGGATTGCAGAAAAGTGGGCTTAGGGGAGCCCCAATGAGGGTGAGAGAGTGGGGGTATGTGCTTCAAGAGGGCCTGGAAGAAGGTGGGTCCTGGAAGAGTGTCTCAGGAGCAGTGTGGGGGGGGGGGGCAGAGGCCACCTTGGGTCAGCTGGGAGCTCATACCCTCCACGGTGGAGTAGACATGGAGGGTGTCCGTGTACGTTGGGATGGTTTGGTCACTGTCCTGTGTGATCATTGCAATATTGTCTCCACCTACTCTTTCACCAGGGTCCCTGTGTTCTGAAACACGAAGAAGAGGAAAAGTCAAAGTCAGAGAGAAAGAAAGGGAAAGGAGAAGGTCATAAGACAGATTAGCAAGGCAAGAAAGCTGGGGTTCTAGATCTGGGATAGGACTGGATTAGGAACACAGGCTCTGTGATCTTGGCTCTGTCCCCACCTCCTCGACAGGCCTGCACGATGTACACCTTAGGCTTGGCTCTCAGGGCCTCGCAATTCTTGTTATTTAGAACGGTGAAGAGGTTCTCCAGATTAACCATCTGCTCATCTTCCCCTTCGAGGTGTCCTTCTAGCCCATGTGCCATGAGCACCACGAAAGCACAGCTGACAAAGTCTTTCCGGGCATCAATGGCCTGCTGAAATTTTTCCAGTTCTTCCTGGAATTGCTAGAGCAAGAGAAATGGCCAGAATGATGTGCCTTCCTGGAGCCCACCTTCCAGTCCAGCCCTTCCTCCCATTGGTGTGGGCTGGCTGCACAATACCTGGGCTGTGGGGTCTTTCTTCATGGTACTCTCAAATCCCAGCTGCTGGAACATGCGTTCCAGGGCGACTAGGTCTGCCTCTGAACCTTCACGTGCTTTGGTGACACACAGTGTCAGGGCTACGCGGGCACCTGACATGTCATATGCCTCCTGGGCCAAGAGATGACAAAAACCATCAAAGGGCTAAGGAGGTCAAGGAGAAGTAGGAGATATTGTCCAAAGAGGGCTGAGGTTAGGGTTTCTGGGTAAAATACCAGATGCCCAGTTACACTTAAATTTCAGATTAATAAAAAATAAGATTTTAGTATAAGTAAGTGGAACCTTGGTTCTCAAACTTAATTTATTCCAGAAGGCTGTTTGAGAAGTGATTTGTTCAAAAGCGGAATCATTTTTTTCCCCATTAGAAAATATTCACAACACAATATTGAATGTCCCTTCCTGAGATGTCAACAACTCGAAGTTTAGCGGTAAACTGATTCATACTTGCACATTCTCTCTTTCGTTTGTCCCATGGGAGACACAAGTGTCAGCATGAAAGAGTTGTCAGGTGGAGAAATAAAGTTTTGTTCGACAACTGAGACACTTTTTCTTGTGAACAACTTGGCTGTGAACTGAATTGTTTGAGATGGGAGATGTTAGAAAACTGAGTTTTGACTGTATATCCTAAATATTGCATGGGATATATTTATATTATGAAATTATTTGTTGATGCGAAATTCTAATTTGACTGGGCATCCTTTATTTTTAAAATTAAATTAATTGAGGTAACATTTGTTAATAACATTATATAAATTTAAGGTGTGTGGCATTATAATTTCATATCTGTGTACTATATTGTGTGCTCACCACCAAAAATCTAGTTTCCTTCCGGGGGTCCAGCTCTGTTTTAGTCCTGTACGAACTTAGGAAAGTCATTCCTCCTATCTGAGCTTCAGTTTCCAAATATAGATGAGTGTGTGTGTGAAGGATTTGAAGGTCCCTTTCAGTTGTCACATTTGGTGGCTTTGTCTCTCCATCCTTTTCATGAGTGTTCTATGTATTACTTTCTCACTCACAGAGGTCTCAGAATTTCTGAAGCTAATACTGAAATCCTCTTATCTCATCTGAGAAAGAAGGGTGTCTGGGTCAAAATTTCTTTACAGAAGAGATGCAGGGTACTTTGGGAGAGATGTAGTAGGGTTGTCCCCCACCCCCCACTTGGTTTCCACCTGAATCTTTTTCTCCATTTGAATGATCACAAAGCACCTTTTAGCTCTGAATTCAGGTCATGGATTTTTCATCTTCCCTGCTGTCTCTGAAACATTAAACTTTTCACCTTCCCTCTCCTCAGAGGCTCCCACCCCCCTCCCCCAACCTGCACCCAGCGCACCTCCTCCAAAGGCTGAGGATTGCTCATGTCTCTTCTGATTCTGAGTCCGGTTCTCAGCACCCTTGGCTGATCCTGGGGGTTCAAGAGAAGAGAGAGTGAAGATTTCCAAAGGAAGGCAGAGGGGTTCAGGGTATAGGCTAATTTGTATATCTAGATTTTTGAGACTGAATGGGACCCCAGGGGTGGGGACTTGTTTCATGGTCAAACCTGAGCAAGAGATGACAGTCCTTTCAGTATGTCCTTTCTAGTGGGACACTCCAGTGGTGTTTTTACACCCCTGAAAGTCTCCAGAACTCTTGCTAGACCCACCGCACAATGCTACTCAACTGGAAATTTCCCTACCCCTGCCCCCAGGACACTCACCAGCCTGTGACAGACTGAACTCATGACCAGGTTGATCAGCAGGGCAAGTGGCCCCATGTAATCCCCTTTGCCACCCAGGAACTGACTGGTTGAAGAGGTATCAACACGAAGGTGCTTCGGGTTGGATTTAAAATGAGAAGAGCATCAAAGTGGGGAATACCACTCCCTCCCTCTGCCTTGAGCCTGAACCTTTAAGTTCTTCATTCTTTTTTATTTATTTATTTTAAATTATTTTTATTAATTTGTTTTTGTTACACGTTTCTTTTCTCTCCATTGACACCCTCCTCCCCATCCCCCCACCCCATCTCCAGCTTTGTTGTCTATGCCCATTGATATGGGTACATGCCTATAAGTTCTGTGGTTTATCTCTTCCCCCCAACACCCCCTCTTCTGAGGTTTGTCAGTCTGTTTTATCTGAGTCCTGTTTGTTCTACTCTCTGGCTGAACAGAATTATTTTTTCCGTATTCTTGGTGTTTTCCCATCTCCTAGCATTTAAAAAATATGCTTGTATGGATTTTTTAGAGAGAGAGAAAGGAAGAGAGAAATAGAAACATCAATGTGAGAGGGAAACATCGAGCGGCTGCCTCCTGCACACCCTGTACTAGAGACTGAGCCTGCAACCTGGGCATGTGCCCTGACTGGGAGTCAAACCAAGACCTCTCAGTCCATGGGGTGATGCTCCATCCACTGAGCCACACTGGCAGGGCTCCTAGCCCTTTCTTACACTTCTTCCTGGAATGCATCTTTACTAGTCAAGACTCTTCTCTGTCAATTTGGGTGGCATCATGTCTGCTATGTCTTTCTCCACCCCCACTTATCTCTCGACTCATCTATCCACTCATCAGTCCATCCGTCGATCCATCAATCCATCATTTGATTGATTGATCCATCCATCTATCCACATATCCACCCAATCACTCATATATCTATCCAGCAAATATTTTTTGGGTGTCTGTTATGAGCTAAACACCAAGAATACACTATATAAGACAGACATGCTCCCTCATGTAGCTCTAGTTTCTGACAGAAATGAACATTAAATCTCTCTCACTCTTTTTCTCTTACACACACACACACACACACACACACACACACACACAGGAGCACGTGCTGTAAGGGAAGAGAAGCCAAATACTGTAAGGGAGAGAAAGGAGAAGTATAGAAGGAGCGTGGATTCTGCAGCCAGATAAACCAAAATCAAGTTCTGCTTGGCTTCTTCCCAGTTGTGTGACCTTGAGCATCTCACTTTCCTCTTTGAGACTGAGTTTCCCCATCTGAAAAGACCTTGAAAGAGCACTAGATAGATGCTTTACAGTCGGAGCAAGGTAGGTTGAATGATCTCTGTTAAGTCACTGAAAGTTGCTTCTCCTTCTCTGGACTCCCATAGCTCTGCCTGTTCAGACTTGCATTACAGCTATGCTTTTGATTTTTGTTTTGTTAATTCTCACCTTAGGATATTTTTCCATTGATTTTTTTTTTTAGATAGACTGGAAGGGAGAGAGAAAGGGGGGAGAGAGAGAGAGAGAGAGAGAGAGAGACAGAGAGACAGAGAGACAGAGAGACAGAGAGATCAGTGTGAGAGAGACACATTGATTGATTGGTTGCCTCTCGCATGACCTGGACCAGGGCCAGGGATCAAACCTGCAACCCAGGTATGTACCCTTGACTGGGAAGTAAACCTGTGACTTTTCAGTCTGCAGGCTGATGCTCTAAGCACTGAGCCAAACCAAACAGCTGATTTTATTCTCATGGCTGAGCTGGCAGTTGTTTTTTAGCACTGAAAGCCTGACTTTTTAATCTCTTTCTCCACCAGTATGGGAATGGGCACAGAGGAGGTTATGAGGAGAATTTATTGGGTATACAAATAATAAACAAGTAAACAAATAAAAGAAAGGCTGGCTGGCTGGATGAATGGGTAAAAAACTGGCCAGAATATGCATTCATGCAGTGCAAGGGGAAAAGAGAGAGAGAGAGAGAGAGGCCAATATCTGCCAAATCACTTACTGTCTCTAGAAGTAGCTGCTCCTTAACTCCAGGTCGTCACCACTCTATTAGTTGCAACAGGCTGGGCACTAAAGAGTGGTCAGGTCCATGTGCTGAGCTTGGAGAAGGAGCTGACAGCACAAATCTTCCCAGGTTTCTCCTGAAGGGCCTGTCTGTTAATTGGGCAGCACAGCTGTCTGGGCCTTTATTGACCCTAAATTTCCTGTCACTCAAGAAACTTCTTGACAGGAGGCACACACCCTTGATGAGGCAATGGAGCCAAACGCCTACAGAATGAGTGATGGCAAAGCTCAGCCAACACCCCCTGACTAAGGAGGCTGAGGCACAGCACCCACACCAGTGAGGGCTTTAACGCCAGCGCCCCTCTCCAAGTACCCCCCACCCAGGTCCAACTCATCTGGCGATCATCAATCTACCATTTCCATCATTATGCCCACTTCTATCTCTTCCACATTCAACTGTGCAGATAATACCAATTTCACTTGTTTATTATCTCATCGAATATTCAACAACCTGAAGAGATCAAATCTTTTCTGATTATTCAGAAAAGAAAACAGACTCACAGAGGTAAAATGACTGCCCAAAGTCACTCAATGAGTAATTAGCACAGTTGGTGTTCAAACTCAGGAGGGTCCAGACTCAGACAGCCCAGTTCAACTGTTTCAACTGATGCTTCACAGCTGATTCAGCCTCTGTCTTCTCTTCCTCATGACCTTCCTCCTACCTTCTTTTCCAGCCTTTATTCCACTTCATTTCATTTTATTCAAACAGCTTTAAAAAGATATAATTCATATATCATACAACTCACCCATTTAAAGTGTACAATTTAATGTTTTTTTTTTAAACTATATTCACAGTTGTGCAATCATCACCACAGTCAATTTTAGAACCATTTCATCACTACAAAAAGAAACCCTGTGCCCTTTAGTTATTGCCCCCAATCCCAACCCAAATCTTTCAGCCTCTGGCAGCCACTAATCTATATTCTATCTCTATAGATTTCCCTGTTATAAACATTTCACATGAATGGAATCATATAGTTGTGGTCTTAAGTGGCTTCTTTCAGCATAATATTTTTAAGGTCCATCCATGTTGTAGCCCATATCAATACGTAATTTCTTTATGGTTGAATAATATTGCATTGTATAGATATACCTAATTTTATTTATATATCCACCCATAAATGAATGTTTGGGTTGTTTCCAACTTTTGGCTATTATGAATGATGTTGCTATAAATATTAGCATACAAGTCTTTGTGTGGCTGTATGTTTTTATTTCTCTTGAGCTTATATGTAGAAGTGAAATATTCTTTTTTTAAATTAATTAATTAATTTTTGTTACAGATGTTTCTCCCCCCCTACTCATTCCCTCCCTATCCTAGCTTTGTTGTCCATGTCCATTGTTCATGCATACATGCATATATGTTCTGTGGTTTATCTCTCCCCCCCACCCCCTCTTTTGGGGTAGAAGTGAAATATTCAAACAATACTGAAATGTATTCAGCAAAACTGTAACATTTCCATAAAATACTGCAACTATTGTGGCAAAAAGTAATGATGGGTCCTCAAAAAATTAAACACAGAATTACCTTTTGATAAAGCAATCCCATTTCTGGGTTTATGCCCCCCAAATTGAAAGCAAATATTGAAAATATTTTTGCATATTCATATTCATAGCAGCTCATTCTTCATAATGGTGAAAAGGTGGAAGGAACCCAAGTGTCCACAGATGAATGGATAAAAAAAATGTGGTCCATCTATACAGTGGAATATTATTCAGTCTTAAAAAGGAAGGACATTCTGACACCTGCTACAACATGGCTGAACTGCCCTGGCCGGTTTGGCTCAGCGGTTAGAGCATTGGCCCGTGGTTCAGAGACCCGGGTTCGGTTCCCCCTAAGGGTGCGTACCTTGGTTGCAGTTTGTCCCCAGCCCTGGCTGGGTTGTGCAGGTGGCAGCCACTCAATGTGTCCCTTTCACATGGATGTTTATCTCGCTCCCTCTCTTCCTCTCTCTCCCTTCCACTCTATCTGAACAAAAAACGGAAAAATGTCCTTGGGTGAGGATAAAAAAACAAAAAACAAAACATGGATGAACCTTGAGGACATTATGCTAAGTGAAATAAACCAGTCACGAAAGGACAAATATTGTATGATTCCACTTATATGAGGTCTTTAGAGGAGTCAAATTCATAAATAAAATAGAATGGTAGGCACTAGGGGTTGGGGGAAGAGGAGGGGAAGTTACTGTTTAATGGGGACAGAGTTTCAGTTTTGCAAGATAAAAAACTTTTGTAGGTGGATAGTGGTGATAGTTATACAATAATGTGACTGTACTTAATGCCATTGAACTGGAAACTTAAAAATGGTTAAAATAGTAAATTTTATATTATGTCTATTTTACTACAATAATAAAATTAAAAGAAACTGGGACATTCTCATCTCCCCAAGTCTTCCTTTTGTTTCAAGATAATCCAGGCACCAGATGAGCAGTTTGTCTCCAAATCCTCATTGCTGTATTGACTTACACATTTATTACTGTTTGTTATGTATGTTAGCTTAGTCTACTGAATCATTCTGTTTCTTGCTTTTTTAACTTAATTATATGTGTGGGTCATCTTTCTATGTTGGTACCTATGGAACAAACTTATTTTTTATTTTATTAAACTTTTTTATCAAAGAATAACTGCACGCAGAAAAAAGCACATATCGTAATTATGCAGCTTGATGACTTTCTATAGACTAAACAAACTCATGCAATCAAGACCTGCTGAAGAAAAAGAATGTGACTAGGTCCTTACCCCTGGAATTCCTTTTCTGCTTCCTTTCTTCCCCAAACATTATGTTGATATACAACACTACAGATGAACTTTTCCTGATTTTGGTGCTTTATATAAATAAAATAACATAATAATTCTCTTTTCTATCTTGTTTTGTTCATTCAACATCATGTTTGTGAGATTCAATATGTTTTTGCATGTGTCTGTAGGTCTTCCATCTTATTGCTTAAGAGCAATATTTCTCAATCATGTTTTCATTATCACCCTCCCAAGCAGCCATTTTAATTATGCCACTATGAAATTTAATACCACAGGTCTACTGTATATCTATATCTACCATCATCTTGTCTGTCTATCTATTATCTATCTATCATCTATCTATCTATCATCTATCTATCTATCTATCTATCTATCTATCTATCTATCTATCTATCTATCTATCTATCTATCATCTATCTATCAACCTATCTATTTCTCTATTATCCACCCATTCATCTGTATCTTTTATATCTATATATTGTACATATATCTGTATATTCCCTCGCAAACTAATTTTTGCCCCATGTGGAGGTAAAATATTGCTCCCCTTGAAGACACATGCTTTGTAGTATTCCATAGTGTGAATATACCACAACTTATTTATCCAATCTATTACTATGATTATTATATTTATGTTATACTGTTTATATATTTTTATTTCTTTTTAAAATTAATTAATTTTTGTTACAGATGTTTCTCCTTTCCCCCCACTAATTCCCCCCTCGCCCTCCTGCCACACCCTGACCCCAGCTTTGTTGTTCATGTCCATTGTTCATGCATACATGCATATTAGTTCTGTGGTTTATCTCTCCCCCACCACCCTCTCTCTTCTGGGGATTGTCAGTCTGTACCTCACCTCCACGTCTCTGGGACTACCCCGTTCCTCAGACTGTTATGTTCATTATATTCCACAAGTAAGTGAGATCATGTGATATTTGTCTTTCTCTGTTTGGCTTGTTTTGCTTAGGATAATACTTTCCAGGTCCCTCCATGTCGTCTCAAAGGATAAGAGATCTTTCTTTCTTACAGCTGCATAGTACTCCATTGTGTATATGTACCACTGCTCTTTTATCCATTCGTCTACTGATGGACATTGGGGGCTGCTTCCAGATCTTAGCTATTGTAAATAGTGCTGCTATGGGGGTACATATATTCTTTCTGATTGGTGTTTCAGGCTTCTTCGGGTATATTCCTAGAAGTGTGATCACTGGGTCAAATGGCAGTTCAATTTTTAATTTTTTGAGGTAACACCATATTGTTTTCCATAGTGGCTGCACCAGTCTGGATACCCACCAGCAGTGTACTAGAGTCCCTTTTTCTCCACACCCTCGCCAACAATTATTGTTGGATGATTTGTTGATGGCGGCCATTCTGACATTGTGAGGTGATACCTCATTGTTGTTTTAATTTCCATCTCTCTGATGCTAGTGATGTTGAGCATTTCTTCATATGTCTCTTAGCCATTTGTATGTCCTGTTTGGAGAGGTGTCTATTTAGTTCCTCTGCCCATTTTTTAATTGGGTTCTTTGTCTCCCTTTTGTTGAGTTGTATAAGTACTCTTTATATATTGGAAATTAATCCCTTATCTGATATATCATTGGCAAGTATGCTGTCCTATACAGTGGGTTGCCTTTCCATTTTGATGATTGTATCTTTTGCTGTGCAGAAGCTTTTGAGTTTGATGTACTCCCATGTGTTCATCTGTTCCTTTGTTTCTGTTGCCTTAGGTGATGTATCAGTGAAAATTCTGCTGCGTATGATGTCTGAAATTTTTTTGCCTACAGTTTCTTCTAGGATTTTTATGGATTCACATTTTTATGAGTCACATTTGAGTCTTTTATCCATTTTGAGTTTATTCTCGTGTATGGTGTAAGTTGATGGTCTAGTTTCATTTTTTTTTTTTTGCATGTAGCTGTCCAATTTTCCCAACACCATTTGTTAAAGAGGTTGTCTTTACTCCACTGCATGCTCTTGCCCCCTTTGTCAAATATTAATTGAGCATGTTGCCTTGGGTCCATTTCTGGGTTCTCTGTTCTGTTCCATTCATCTGTCTGCCTGTTCTTGTGCCAGTACTAGGCTGTTTTGATTACAGTGGCTTTGTAATATAACCTGAAATCTGGTAATGTGATCCCTCCTACTTTGTTCTTTTTCAAGATTGCTGTGGCTATTTGAGGTCTTTTTAGGTTTCATATGAACTTTTGAAGTATTTGTTCTAGTTCTGTAAAGTATGTCATTGGTATTTTGATGCAGATTGCATTGAACCTATAGATTGCTTTGGGTAGTATGGACATTTTAATGATGTTAATTC